AGTGCTTTGTGGAGACCCTTGACACTACTGAAAACCGAAACCAGTTTATCCTCTCTCAGGAGTATGAGTGCGGTTTATGGAGGCATTTCTGGCCTCCTTTTTTTTTTTTTTTTTCTACAAGCATCCTCTTCTTGTCAACTATTTTTTTAAAAGAAAAATTCTGACAGAGATGTTGAAATCATCACAGAGTGAACACGCAGATCACCCCACTGCACATTTTGCAATAATTGTTCTATCAGATATCTACACATCTACCAGTTCATCTTGTTTTGGAGCTGTATTTCCAAGTGGGTTAGGACCTCAGTGTGCCTGCATCTAGGGCTGCCTTTGGAGTCCTGCAGCAAGTGTGACTGCAGTGGCCCGGGGAATGGGTGTTGACCCGGGGACACTTGAGGGACCTGTCTGCCGATGAAAGATGGTTGCTGGAGGCATGTCTGGTAGCCAAAAGGGGCTGACGCCTCCTCAGAGAAGAGCAGTTGCTTAGATGCTATGAGCTGGCTCTCTTTTTCTTTGTTTTCTTATTAAAAGATTATTGACAAGGCAGATTTATAGAGAGAAGGAGAGACAGAAAAAAAGGTCTTCCAACTGCTGGTTCACTTGCCAAGTGACCACAATGGCCAGCATTGTGCCAGTCAGGAGCCAGGAGCTTCTTCTGGTTCTTCCATGTGAGTGCAGGGGCCTAAGGACCTGAGCCATCCTCTGCTGCTTTCCCAGACCACAAGCAGGGAGCTGGATGGGAAGTGGAGCAGCCAGCACTAGAACCAGTGTCTACATGGGATGCCAGTGCTTGCAGGTCAAGCCTATTGAGCCAATACACTGGCTCCTCTTTTTTTTTTTCTTTGAATGAGGAGAGGGTTGACATTGAGACACAGCAGGGAAAGCTCACTGTGCCAGCTTAGCTGTCTGTTGGCAGGTTTGTGACATGATTTCTCCACTTCTGATCCAGCTCCCTGTTGATGTATCTGGGAATGTAGTGGAGGATGGCCCACATATTTGGGCTCCTGTTCTCTTGTGAAGACTCATGAGAAGATCCTGGCTCCTAGCTTTGGCCTGATCTAGTCCCTGACACTACAGCCACCTGGGAGTGAATCAGTTGATTAAAGATCTCTCTGTCTCTGTCTCTTTATATAACTCTTCTAAGAAAAAAAAATACGCACTTCAAAAACTGCTCTGGTGTGTAGATGGGCAGAAAGACCACACCGAGTGTACATCTCCAGCGCAAAGCCTGTCCTGTGTGATGCTCTCTTTCCTATGGCTTTGGACTGTACACAGCCGTGGCAACCTGCTGCCCCTTTACAGGATGTGACAGGATAGGGACCACAGGCTGAGGTTGGGCCTGCCTATCCTTGGCCCCCAGGCTCCCCACTGTGGCTCCCTCCCGCCCTCTCTGTGGGAGACTGTGATCTCTGCTTTCTCACTTTGGGGTTTTGCTCCTGCTTCAGGGCAGAGATGATTGGCAGTGTAGTGATAGACGGATGAGCTCTGTGAGTTCAGGTAGCATCCTAGAGGACAAAGTTGGGACACGGCAGGCTTTTTGGCAAATAGGCTTTTGGCTGGAATGGCAGTCCAGACAGAAGTTGGCACATGTGTGCGAAAATGGGACTACAAAGCATTTTAAAATGTGTGCATAATGTGTGATGACCATAAATTCACAATAGGAAGTTCTGAAAGTTTCCTAGTGTGTATGGCCATGGTCACTCTGTGTCCCCAGAGTTGAGCAGGAGAGTTTCTCTGGGGTTCTGGGGAAACTTGGAGCTGGAGGGTGGGAGGGAGACCAACAGGAGGGCACCTGCTTGCGTGTCCCTGCACCCCTGGCCCCAGGGGCCACTCACTCAGTGCTTTCCTACCATTGCTGTTGTGAACACTTCCCTCACTACCGCGTGCTTTCTCAGAGGGCGGCTGGTCATGATCCAGCCATAGAGTGGCTGGCAGTGATGGTTTGAGAAAGCGCATACTTCATTTCCCGGCAGATAGCTATTATCAACCTCGACAATGTCTCTGAGTCCTGAAATAGATTTGGCCCACGAGGCAGGGAGTCTGCGTAGGGCACAGTGGTGGGGGGAAGGCTTGGCTGGCTCTGACCTGCCTAGGTCTTTGCATTATGGCTGTGACATTGGAGGTACCCTTATGATTCAGAAGTCAGGTGGAATTCATTGGAGGGCACTCATTATTTTTATGTGGGGGTGAGGCTGGCTTTTCCAGTAATCCGTGGTCAAGTCCCAGTCTCCTCAACTATTGGATGGACACAGTAGTGCCAAGCTTATAGAAGGGCGTGGGGATGATGTATCCCTGTTCCTCCTTCATCATGGCTATGGCTGTGGCTGTCAATGCAGGCAGTGTGAGAGCTGAGGCGGATGTGGGGTGGGGTTGCACCTCACATGACTGTAGCTGTCTTGCTTTTTTGGGTTGTATGCCCCTTATCTAAAACATGTGAGACCAGATACAATTTGGATTTCAGAAGTTTTCAGATTTGGAGATATTTGCTTTATCAGAATAATAGAGTTGAGCTTCCCTAATCTGAAAATTTGATGTGCCTTGAGCATCATTTCAGTGCTCAAAATGTGTCTGGTTGCTAGGGCCAGTGTCATGGCACAGCGAGTTAAGCTGCTACTTGTGCTACTACTGGCAGTCCACATAGGAGTGTTCATTGGAGTCTGGCTGTTTTGCTTCTGATTCAGCTTCCTGCTACTGCACCTGGGAAGTCAGACGATGATGGCTCAAGTATTTGGGAGATGGAGTTACAGGCTCTTGGCTGCAGCATGGCATAGCCCCAGCTGTAGTGACTATTTGAAGAATAAATCAGTAGATAGATCTCTTTCCTTTCTCTTCCCTTGTTCTCTCTGTTGCTCTGCCTTTCAAATAAATAAGTAAATAAATCTGTTTTAATTTTAAGACCATTTTAAATTTTGTAGCATTTTAGATTTCAGCCATATTCTAGATCCTGATTCACTAATCAGGGAATGACATTTTTAAAAAAGTGCTTAATGATGCATTTATTCATTGAACAAAGTTTTAGAAGTCATTTATTTGAAAGACAGACATCATTCCCCGAACACCTGTAACAACCATGCTGGACTGAAGCCAGGAGTTGGAAACCCAATCCAGGTCTCTCTTGGGCATGATAAGGATGCCAGAACTTGAGCCATCAGCTGCTGCCTCCCAGAGTGGACATAGCAGGAGACTGGGTCAGAAGCAGAGGTGGGATTTGACCCCAGGTACTATGATAGGGAGTTCAAGCTTTCTAAGCAGCATCTTAGTCCTGTGCCAAACCACTATACATTCAGAGATAATTTTTTTGAGCATCTGCAGGTGTGAGGCGCCAAGATGAACAATGTGTGGTCTGTGGGGAGGCCACAGTCTACTGAGTAGAGACAGATGTATCCAGTGGTGGGCCGGCCCCTTGTGGTATAGAAGGCAAAAGACCAGGGTGGAAAAGCTATGGAAGGATTGTGAAGGAGTAGTCCCTAGGCTGGGTTGTTGTGTGGGTGGAGTCAGAATGGAGGAGAAATTTGAATAAAGTTGCCAAGCTTAAATAAGGACATGGTGCTGAGAAACATTGTAGCATGTTGGGAGACATGTAAGCCATTGAGTGCTGCTGGCATGAGGAAGGTTGAGGCTGGAGAGACTGGAAGAGGCCCTGTCAGTCGTGCACAAGCCCTGGTTTTAGTTGGTGGCCAACTCAAGGGCTACGGAGAGTGCCTGCAGGCATGGTGGTAGTAGGCAGGTGTTTACATTTGGAGTAACCTGACAGTTGTGCACACTTGAGTGATGTTGAGCCTGCCTCCTGCTTTGGAAGAGGCTTGGCGAGCTTGAGAGCAGAAGCTGTTTGTGGGATGAGCTGTAATTGTCTGGGGAGACAGTAGGGCTATAGGGAGTCAAGAGGCAGAGCAATGGATAGATTTAGAACAGAAGGCTTGAGTATTATTAGAGGAATGGAGAGAAGAGGCAGGGGCCAAGTTTGACGTGATTCTGCATTTGCTGTTTGGGGTTCTGCTTGTGTTCTATCACTTTCTGAGACCTTTTTCTAACCTCTGGTCCAACCATTTCTAGCACTGATCTTGGTTACCTCTGCTCATTGCATTGGCTTTTCATTGTTCCTAAGCGGGTTTTGTTTTGCTTGCTACAGGGAAGCTCTTAAAAGGTAGGGGCTGTGTATGATACATCTTTTGCATGTAACTTTAGATATTTAATGTGATTTATGCATAGCATTTTTGGGACTTGAAGCAACTAATTTTTTTGAAGGATTTATTTATTGAACAGCAGAGTGGCAAAGAAAGAGGAAGAAACAGAAAAAAAAAAACCTCTTCCATTTGCTGGTTGATTTCCTTAATGGTTGCAACAGCCAGGGCTGGGTCAGGTTGAAACTGGGACTCTGTAACTCCACCTGAGATCTGTAACTCCATGGGAGTGTGTGGGTGGGAGGGACCCATATGCTTGGGTTCTCTTCTGCTGCCCTTCCAGACACATTAACAGGGAGCTGGATTAGAAGTGCGGCAGCTGAGACTTGAACTGGGACTCCAAAATGGGATACCAGCATTGCAGGTGCCAGCTTAACCAGTTGAGGCACAATGCCAGCCCTGCTTTAAGCGATCTATTTCATTAATCTGTTCTTTCTCCCAAGATGGGAGGATGAATTAAACATTGGCTGTCAGGTGGAAGGTGTCCTTCCTCCAGAGGAATATGGAGGAACTTCAGAAAGTTCATGCAAAATTGAATTAAAGAACAGATCTATTTTGGTGTTAAGTGAATGCAAAAAATAATTCCATGCATAATGTTTCTATAGCATGCATTTCCATCAACTTTCTGAAGTACCTTTTTACATGCCTTATCTAGGAAACTAAAAGGAAATTTAAAAAGTCAAATACATCTCAAAATGAAAGACATTGTGAGGTTACCGTGTTAGGCCTTTTGTTCTGGAACCACGGCTGCTCTGCTGGGTTGGCATGGGGCAGGACCTGTCACTGTTTCCATGTGGTTCATGTCTGTGCTTTCCCTGGCAGGTCCTGAGCCCAGCAGCCGGTGTGAGCTGTCGCCGGTCAACGCCTCTCATCCCGTGCAGGCATTGATGGAGAGCTTTACCGTCCTGTCAGGCTGTGCCAGCCGAGGCACAACCACGCTGCCCCAGGAGGTGCACGTCCTTAACCTGCGTGCTGCGGACCAGGGACCCAGCCAGCCACAGAAAGAGGTAGGTGTGACTTGCAGCCTCCAGCCTGCTGCCGCTGTGCCGTGTATGCAGCTGATGTTCCTGGCACGGAGGGTTGCTCATGGGTGTGGCTGAGAGCGCAAAAGCAGGAGTGCAGAATGTGAAGTCATGGACTGCTCTCTGCACTGTTTGACCTGGGGCTTCTGTCTTTAGCAGTGACAGTGGTTGAACAATGTCGTCTTAAAAAAATGAGATCCATTTATTTATTTGAAAATCAAACTTACAGAAAAAGGAGGAAATGACAAACAGAGAGAGAAAGTGAGAGAAAGACCTTAATCTACTGGGCCACACCCCCAGATGGACCTAACAGCCAGGGTGTAAAGTGTACAGAAGCAAGAGAAGGCCAGATTTCCATCTCATGAAGGCATGCAGGGTGGGCCTATTTCAATCATAGCACCTAAGCTCTTAAGCTACATTGGGAATGAAAGTTAATTCTCTTGGTTGCTTGCTGTTGTTGCCATAACACACATTGCAGGTCCGATCTCTTTATCCCAGTCTCGTGTCTTTCATTCTTCAGCGGGGGGGGTGTCTGGTGGGAGGGAGAGGAGGTGAGGAGGAAGTGTAGTTCCTACAGAGCGCTGCTGACTCCAGCAATTCCTTCACAGCAGTAATTACCATTTGATATATGCTTCCCTTGGAGGAACTGAGAAGGAAAGCCTGGGCTGTTACACAAGTAAGCAACAGCAGAAACATTCCTGATGTTCAACTGTGTGGTGCTGTTGTTGACACTGAAAATAGATTCAAATCAGACTACTGAAGCGGAAGACAAATGCCTCTAGGAATGATAGCTGAACTCTCCCACCCTTGTATTTATTACGTTAGGTCAGAATGTGATTCATCCTAAATATGGCTGCCCTGAGGATGTGTGCAATGAGCTGGCATGAGGGGACTGTTGGAGGTGTTCTGTAGGAAGAAAAAGAAGAAGACTACCAATGGATGGTCTAAAACTCATTAAGAACCAGAGTATTCTCATCTTTCAATATTTGGATAGTCCATGTGTGATTAGGGGTCAGCGATTTCTGAAAATAGGCAGCTGAAGGAAACTGCATTACTTCTTTCTTGGGAGATGGTTAAGAATTAGATGGTTGTAGCTCAGTTCTTTGTGAAAATAAAATGTCGGAATAACCATTCCTTGGAACTCTCTGGAGGGAAAACATGAGTTCTGAGGATGTAGTCGGCTTCAGAGTATTTCATGTCTGCCGAGTTCCTGTGGAGGACTCTAGAGACAGGGCAATGAGAGAATGAAAGAGTTTATTTATGGAGGGTGGCAAGATGGAACGATAGAAGTATTAAATGTCTTCAGTTCTCTTCATGTGTGCAAACTGTCATGAATTGTTTGAGCCATGGCATCCAGCATGTGTGTGCCTGGTTATATGTCAGATGGAAACAAGGACATATGCCCGTGTTTATGCCAACATTATCCCTAATAGTCAAGAAGTGCAGACAACCCAAATAGTTGTCATCTGATGATTAAATAAGTAAGTTGTCATAAATCCAAGGAATGCAGTATTATTTGGCAACAAGAAGTAATGAAGTTTAGATAAATACAGATGCTACAATGTGGATCACCCTTGAAATGAAGAGGGACATGAAAAGCACATGAGGGGACTTAAAGATTTCATGGAAAAATGGAATTAAAAGATTTTTTTGGTACAGATATTTTTTGAAATCTATGCATAATTTTTAAATAATATATATTTCCATGGACTTGATGAAGATTTTTCTTATTGTACATTTATATGAGATGTTCTGAACACACAAATGTATGGAAACCAGACTAAACTTAGAGGAGGAAAAAAGAGAATTGGGTTACCACTAATGGTTATAAGCTCCTTTGGGGCAGAGCACAAACGTGCTCGACAGTTGTAGTGATGGTTATGAACCTCTGAACCTAATAATGACTGTTGATCTGTCATTTAAATGTGTGCACACTATGGTATATGAACTGTATTTCAATAAGGTTATTTTTAAAAATTTTTTAATTTTTATTATTTTTTTATTGGAAAGGCGGATATACAGAGAGGAGAGACAGAGAGGAAGATCTTCTGTCCACTGATTCACTCCCCAAGTGAGCACAATGGCCGATACTATGCCGATCCAAAGCCAGGAGCCTCTTCCGGGTCTCCCACGCGGGTGCAGGGTCCCAAAGCTTTGGGCTGTCCTCGACTGCCTTCCCAGGCCACAGGCAGGGAGCTGGATGGGAAGCGGGGCTGCCGGGATAGAACTGGTGCCCATGTGGGATCCCGGGCATGCAAGGTGAGGACAACCACTGCGCCATTGCGCCGGGCCCCAATAAGGTTATTTTTAGAGAAGATGTATTTATTTATTTGAAAGGCAGAGCAACGGAGAAAGTAGGAGAGATAGATAAAGGGAAAGAGAAATCTTCTATATGCTGGCTCACTCCCCACATGGCTCGAATAGCCTCTGATAGGCCAAGAGAAAACCAGGACCCCAAATTCTATCTAAGGGTCCCATAGGGATGGCAGGTGCTCCAGTACTTGAGGCATCCTCTCCTGCTTATCAGCAGAATAGCTGGGACTTGAACCCAGGTATTGTGATGTGGGAGGCTGGCATCATGATCATTGGCTTAAGCCACTGTGCCACAATGGCCACCCAGTAGTAGAGGTAAATTTTAGAAAAATCAGACAATCTGCTAGCATTCTAATTAGTTCATAAAGTTTATCTCAGCATGGTTGCTTTTTTCCCCCCTAAGATTTATCTTATTTTTATTGGAAAGCCAGATATGCAGAGAGGAGGAGAGACAGAGAGGAAGATCCTCTGTCCATCAGAAGCCTCAAATGGCCACAAAGGTTGGTGATGAGTCAGTTTGAAGTCAGGAGCCAGAAACCTCTTGCAGGTCTCCCATGGGGGTGCAGGGTCCCAAGGCTTTGCGCCATTCTTGACTGCTTTCCCAGACCACAAGCAGGGAGCTGGATGGGAAGTAGAGATGCAGGGATATGAACTGGTGCCCATATGGGATCCTGGTGCGTGCAAGGTGAGGACTTTAGCCGCTAGGCTACTGTGTCGGGCCCAGCCATTCTAAATATAACTTGATGTTTACAGATGCTTAGGATAATAGCTGCCCTTGTTTTTTGTTTGTTTGTTTGTTTGTTATTTTGGTGATGGTGGTAGGGGAGGAGAGTGGGATGGTCAGACACAGCCTTTGTGTGTAGTGTCTCATACTAAAGGCAAAATGAAAGGGTTAAATACCATCCCTTATAAACGAACAAAACAGTGGCTGTGCCGGCTGTGTGTGTGTGTGTGTGTGTGTGTGTGTGTGTGTGTGTGTGTGTGTGTGTGTGTTTATTTAGTTATTTATTATCTATTTGGTAATCAAGTTAACAGAGAAGAGAAGAGGCAGAAAGATCTATCTACTGGTTCATTCCCTAGAAGGCCAATGGCTGAGGCTGGACCAGGGTGCAGCCAGAAGCCAGGAGCCAGGAGCTTCATCCAGGTCTCCCCTGTGGGTTACAGGGCCCAAGGATTTGGACCATTTTCCACTGCTTTTCCTAGGTCATTAGCAATAACTGGATTGAAAGTGGTGCAACCACTGGAACCTGCACCCATGTGGAATTTTGGTGTCACTGTGGCACCGTGCCACAGTGCTGGTCCCTGCATTGGTGGGTTTTCATGACATGCTCTGTAAATACAAGATGACTGACTGCTAAGTCTGCCCTTTTGATCCTCTGCTTGTTAATGGTGTCAACTTGGCCTTACAGTCTTCTCCATGTCCTCCCTTCTATAATGTTTTATGAAATTCCCAACTCCAGGTACTGGGAGAGGATTCCTATTTCCATGCCTGGAAGAGGTGACAGAGCCCAACCTGGAAGCCAGCGCCATGGTTGGCTGACAAGCTGGTATGTGTTAACCTGCAGTGGGATCCCTGCTTCCAGGGGCTGCCAGAGTGGCGCACTTGTGGCAGGGTGTGGAGAATGCCCCGGTGCTGGGGCACTGCTCCACTGGAGGCCTCCCTGCTTGCTTCTCTTCAGGCCTGCAGGGCCCATAGTTGTAGCTCTCTTCTGAAACCACACCGGTCCTTTATAATCGTTGGTTTTAGAAATAGCAGCCTGGGAAGTTCATAGACAACTGGAGAAAAACTGGCAACAGAGGAGGGGGAGAAGAAGTTGAACTGCCAAAAGAGAGTTGCCCTTTAGAGTCAGCTGGGAATGGTGCTGTGCGTTTCATGGCCCTGAAACCCATTCCTGGAATCCTAATTTGACTTTGAAGGAAGGCGGCCCCTTTCTCTCCTGGCAGCTCCCCAAGGGGGTGTCTGTTAGCACTGGTACACAGGAGCAGGCCTGCCTTGGTTGCTGGAATGCAGCAGTTTTGTTGGCCGTTGACGTGTGATTGTTTCTGGTGAGCAGCTTTAAACATCTGGTTTTGCCTCTCTTTGGTTCCACCTGTCCAGTCGCTTGCTACTTATGCCAAGGGTAAGCCATCCGTAGCCATTCCATAGGTACACAAGAGCTAGGGGTATTTAGATGTGTGCAGTGTCTTGATGTTAAAGGAGTGACTGATGGGCTCCCAGTGGCTCCCGGTAGGGTGGAGTGAGCATCAGGGATGCTGCTATCAAAGGAAAGGAGCCAGGTTTAATAACATCACCCAATGGAAAGCTCATGGTCCTCCACACTTTCCTGGGTTGGTCCCTGCCTACTCCAGACAAGATGTCGGGTGGGCTTCCAACAGCAGATACACCCTTGGAGTACACAGAGAAATGAGAACCAGAATAAAAGGGTGTGGTTCGTTAGCTGCATGGGTGAGTGTGGATGGTAGCTCTGAGTTTGAAATTTGGCTCCAAGCTTCCTGGCAGGCCCTGCCATACAGATGGTATTGTTCATTATGCACGTGACTCCGCATAACTTTAGCTGTGTATTTCTTTGAGGACCATGTGGCTTGAACTTGGTTGTTTCTCCCTTTCTTCTGAGGGTAAGAAAGACCACAACTGGGAGAAAGAGAGGAAGTCATGCTCTAAAGGCTAACTG